CACCGAGGACAAGCCGGCTCGCACCAGGTGATGGGGGCCAGCTCTTCCCATTGCAGCTGTCCAGGGAGCTCTGTGCTGGACCAGGAGCCTTATTCTGGTGCACTGATCGCAGGGCCCCCAGGCTGAGTCTTGCTTGGCCAGGCACATTCTTACAGGCACCGGCACCTTCTCCCAGCTGCTGCCTCAGCCATGCCTGTTCCTTTCCTTCTGGTGCTGGTGGGAAGTGAGGCGGTGAGTGGCTCTGCACCCACTTCCCCAACAGCCACGGTTTCTGGGCTCTCTTTTCAGAAGCCTAGTGTGTGTGTCCACCCATTTTCCCTGCAGGCTAGGGGTTAACTCCTTCTTACTCTTGGCTGATCTGGTGTTCAGATTACTAAGGCCTCTTGGCCTCCTGCCCCATCAGGATTGGAAGTGAGGCAGAGGGAGTCTTGTTGCCATGAAAAGCAGCCCTTGTTCCCCCACAACTGGGTGGAAAGTCCACGGTGTGAAGCAGTGGCCTGTGGTCAGAAAACGTCCTCGCCGCCTGCGTGGGTAAGGACATCAGGGGCACTGGGACAGGGAGCCCACCATGGCTGCGAACATCAGCTGTCAGTCGAGCATCCACTGTGATCCCGCGTTTCTGGAGGTGGCACTGTTGATGTGAGCCTTAGCTCACAGCTGGACGCCCCCTTTCCTGAGATGCTCTGCATGTCAGTGCCAGCGCTGTGGAAAGCGCCGTGTTTGTCCCGCTAGTCAAACCCTGTGCTGGGAGTGACCAAGAGGTCTGCCCTGACCCTGGCATTGCCCTCTACACGTTGAAGTGGCTTGTCCTGTCCCGCTGAGCTGTGACTTGGCCTCTCCTGTTGGCAGGAGGGAAAGCCAGCACCATCCGTGGCGGTGCTCAGGGGCTCCCGTGACCAGGTTGCTGGCACATGACCATGAGGCTTGCCGGCTGCCCGTGCCCAGGCACAGAGCTTGGCAGGCAGAGTGGCTGGATTTCAACCTCACTGGTCCCATCAGCTGGGTGCCGTTTTTCAGAGCCTGGCCTGCGTTTCGCGTCCATGTCCTGAGATCAGGGAGGAAGTATGTACCACTACTCAGCTGCCCATGGTGGACACTGGTGTTTGGGTGTGACCCTACAGGTTGGTCTGAGGGGGTGCCTTGCCCTTGCGTTGCTCCCTCCTAGCCAGTGGGCTGTTTCAGGAAGAGGAGGCCCGGAAGCCACCTATTGAACAGCATTTTCTCTACTGAGCAAACCATGGGTACCAGGAGAGGCCTTCCCAGATGCCAGTTAAAAGGACACATAGCCCTCAGAGGTGGCGAGGGATCGGGTAGGTGATGCCAGAGGTGGGTGGTCTGCAATATGTGGGCTTCCTTCCACCCTTGCTGGCTCCTTCAGAGATACTAGTAGGTTAAGGGACATGCAGGTCAGTATTGGAAGGGCTGGCTGTCAGGAAGAGGTGGAGATGATTTCACCTTGTCCTCTGGGCGATTTGACCTCATCTTTACCCCTCACACTCACACTGAACTCACCTTCACAGAGAACGCCCTCTTCCTACACAGGTGTCTGCAAGCGTGTGTGCATGCATGTGAGAGATACTTAGGGACTTGCGTCCAGCCTCTCACCTAGTGCAATCGGCATGCCTGAGCAGGTACCCGCACAGGGGCTGGTGAGGGGCAGGCTCCGGCATAACTGGGCCAGGGCTGCCTGGGGCTCCCCACAGCCCAGCACCAACGCCACCAGGTGCGGCTGTCCCAACCTTGGCTTTATGGAATCTGGCCCAGTCTCCTGTGCATGTCTCAAGCCAGCTAAGTGGTTGGAGTTACCAGCTTCCTGGGAGGCAGATCAGTCTAGGTAAGACCTGTGGGCTTAGGGACTTGATGGCCCCGGTGCTGCCCATGCTGTCTGTGGCCAGGGAGGGCCTAGGTGCTGGGCTGTGCATTGAGACGTGTGTCTACCCAGCCTTGGCCCTGTCCCGAAGACCGGGTCGTTTCAGCCTCACTCTCTCAAATGAGGAGGAGGACCCTCTGTCCTCCCTAAGTGGGGCAGGGGAGTGGGCCGTGCTGCGCCTCCACTCTGCCCCTGGAGAGCCAGGAGGACACTGAATGGATGGGGAGATGCTCTGTCCTAGAGGACGCAATCTCCTCCAGAAAGGACAGAAGGGAGGAGGGAGAGCTGCTGAGATCCTCACAGGACGGCAGGGAGTGGAGCTGGATTTAAAGCCAGGCTTGGGTGGCTTGTGGCTCATGACGCTGGGTGGGCTCTGCATGCCAGTGAAGGCTGGCCCTGCTCAGGGACCCAAGGGCAGGTCTCATCCTGAACTGGCTAGGGGCCAGGCCAGTAGGGAAGTCCTGGGGCTATCCTGGCAGGACATACGCTCCCAAAGTAGCAGAAATGTGCCCTTTCGTCTTGAGCTGGTTCCCAGGAAGCGGTCTCCACCTTTCCTCCCTCTGCCACGAGAGCTTGTGGTTTATGGGTTTCCCGAGTCCCAGGAGCTGTGCTGGGAGGGGTTTAAGCTGGGGTCGGGGTCGGGGCTGGTTCCAGGCTACCTTGGGCACCATAGCCGGGCAGGCCCTGAGTACCCCTCTCTCCCTCTGCAGTGTCTTAGATGATGAGGGCAGCAACCTGAGGCAGCAGAAGCTGGACCGGCAGGTGAGTGAGTCTGGGGCCAGGTGGAAGGGCGGAGTCAGGGCTGGGCTTTCCTGGGGGTGAGGTGGGGCCCTGGCTGTCCTTCCCTGGGTAATCCTATCAGATGAGTCTCTCTCGGGAGTGCCCCTTCCTGCTGGGGGTGAGCCATGTTCCGAGCCTGGCTCGTGTCTCCGTAGCGGGCCCTGCTGGAACAGAAGCAGAAGAAGAAGCGCCAGGAGCCCCTGATGGTGCAGGCCAATGCCGACGGGCGGCCCCGGAGCCGGCGGGCCCGGCAGTCAGAGGAGCAGGCGCCCCTGGTGGAGTCCTACCTCAGCAGCAGTGGCAGCACCAGCTTCCAAGGTACACCCTCCTGCACTGTGGCCGCACTCCTGGCACTGCGTGGGCAGGCCTGGGGGGCTCAGCTCGTCAGCGTAAGCCCAGCTGAGTATTGCACCCAACCTGGTGGACAACTGAGTGGGGCGGGCAGAGGGAGGTCGGGACCTCTAGCCTTGGGCTCCTGTTTGCTCAGGCCTTCCTCTTTGGGCCAAGGACTGAAACCTCATGGATCTGGTTGTTTAGAAGTCTAGGCTTCTGACCTGGAGCATTCAGAGAGGAGGCAGTGGTTCCTAAGAGATGAACAGAGCATCCCGTCCCATACCACGGGTGCGTGTCTCTCAGGACAGACACTTGTCTCCTCCTCTCTGAGCTCCCCGCAGCCTGTCTGCCTGGCTTCTGCCCTGCAGGTTCCTTGCCCTGGCTCAGGACTCCTTTAGAGCTGTAGTGGCCTGCAGCCTCCAGCTCCCTCCCCCTTGGGGGACTTCTCTGCAGCTCATTCTGGGGAAGGGTGGCAGTTGCATTCCTACACTCAGGACCCTCCCCCTGCTGAGGTCAGGTGAAATGTACCCCAGGCCAGACTGAGAGTTGGTTTCTCTGAGCTCCAAAGGACTCAGGCCCAGTCACTACTGCCCCCTGCTGGTAATCCAGTGGCTACCTCACCAAATAGTAACTATGAGAAGTGGAGGGCATTGGGCTTTGCAGTTAGGAGGAATCTTAGCCCCCATCGTGTCCCCATTCTGTGCCTTCCTTGTGACCTGGAGCCTCCAGTCCCACACTCCTGGTGGCTGCCTCACCTCAGGGTTGCCCTTCCCATCTCATGGAGGCCCCAGCCCCTGCCTGCTCACCTAGCCCTCAGCTTACTAGTCCCCCTCGTCCATGCCTTCTCCCCAGTTCCTGCGGTGGCATACCGTGCAAGCTTGGACCCTCTGCATGCACTCGTGCCCTCTGAGGACACCCACCTCATTTCTGAGGACAAAGGCTGCCTGTGATGGGCGTTGTCCCATGGCTGAGTGCGGGCTGGGTGCTCTACCTCCATTTTCCTCACAGTAAAGGATGAGAGGGCAAGCCGGCCCCATGGTCTGGTGGTTAGGGCAGCTGGATCCCACATGGCTTACCATGCAGTTCAAATCCTGGCCCTGGCAGCGTGGGAAACATGCCAGGCGTGTGTGCATGCATCTCCAAAGTCCTGACATAATGGAGAGATGGAGAAGGGATTGTGGCATGACTACCCGCCATTGAGGGGTGCTTTCTCCTTCTCCCTCTGCCTGTCTCTGGTGAGTGCATATGCCTTCTGGCAACAATTTAAAAAAGAAAGAGAAAGAAAAAAGGAAGAGAGTAAGGGAAGAGAGAGAAAGAGAGGAAGGAAGATGAGAAAGGAGAGAGATCTTGGAAAAGTGGCCTTGGTCCTGGTTACTCTGAATGGGAAGAGGTACAGGGAAGAGAAGAAAAACAATCGATGGATCAAAAACAGCGAGAAGTGGATCTGTTTCCTAGTTGGATCCAAGGAAACAACAGATTCTGTCCATGAAGTGCCGGTAGGCCCTAGTAGGAGGAGACTATAAATGGCAGATTGGGGACCAGCAGATGGTGTTGTGGTTAAGGGTGCTGGACTTGCACATGTTCAAATGTGGTTCGAGTCCCAGACCTGGTGGCTTGGTTTTTCACGTTCTCTTGCTCTCCTCCCCTGCCCCCCACCAAACCCTGGCCAATTTAAAATAAATAAACAAATAGTTAAATAAAAAAAAAAATATTTTTAAAAAAGTAAAATAAATAAATGGCAGCATTGCATAAAAAGCTGAAAAGGATGGGGGCAGGGGCAGCAGGCTGGGTGCTCTACCTCCATTTTCCTCACAGTAAAGGATGAGAGGGCAAGCCGGCCCCATGGTCTGGTGGTTAGGGCAGCTGGATCCCACATGGCTTACCATGCAGTTCAAATCCTGGCCCTGGCAGCGTGGGAAACATGCCAGGCGTGTGTGCATGCATCTCCAAAGTCCTGACATAATGGAGAGATGGAGAAGGGATTGTGGCATGACTACCCGCCATTGAGGGGTGCTTTCTCCTTCTCCCTCTGCCTGTCTCTGGTGAGTGCATATGCCTTCTGGCAACAATTTAAAAAAGAAAGAGAAAGAAAAAAGGAAGAGAGTAAGGGAAGAGAGAGAAAGAGAGGAAGGAAGATGAGAAAGGAGAGAGGGAGGAAGGAAAGGACATTGACCCTGAGGGGTCCAGTGACTTGCCCACACTGTGCTGCTGGTGAGCAGCAGGGCTGGACTCTGAACCCAGGCCTGGTCTTTCCACCATATTGTGTTCCCTGATAAGAAGCTTCTTCATGGTAACTCCCCTGCGAGTACCTCAGCCAGCACCCTGGGCCATGCCTTCTATGTCTACCGGAGAGGCAGACAGGGAGCTCAGCCCAGCTGCTCCCCACAGAATCGGCCCCAGCCTGCCCTTTCCTGGTGACCTCCTCCCAATGTCTCCTGTGAGCGCTGTCCCGAGCCTGGCAGTGGTGCCCTGCAGGAAGGCAGTGTTGTTCTGCGGCCTGGGGGGCCCGCCTGCTGTGGGGTGGGCACCACAGCCCCAGCTCTGCCACACTTGGCACCTGACTGGTCAAGGCTGTACGTGGGTGTAAGCCTGCACCCTGGACTGGGGGCTCTGCCCTCGAGAAGCCAGTGATGTGGTCATGTGGGCAGTGTTCCCTGAGCACTGACTGTGCCTGGGCAGTGCCAGATAATATGGGCCCACAGGATGAGGCGTGCATGGCTCAGGCCAGAGAGTCTCTGGTCCTGCCTTGGCAGTTGTCTCTCACCTGTGTCTGTGGGCAATCCTTACCCTCTCTGGGCCTGTTTCGTCCACTGTAAAATGAAGGAACGTCTCTGAGCTTTGGAAACTGCAGGGGCCATGGTGTGTTCCAGGGTCCAGAATCAGCTGGTTGCTGTTCCCTGCCAAGCCTTCAGGGGCCTCCCTCACAGAGGATATTAGACTTCTGTGAGGTCCCTGCCGCTTATCTGGGGTCCAGTCTTGGTCTAGCTCCAGTGGCGGACAAGGCCCAGGGTGCTGCTGCCCACAGGTCACGCCCACCCACCCACACCAGCCACTTCTGCTCTGCCCTCTGCTGGCTTTAGGGGTCACGTGCACG